CCCACCCCCCACCCCCCGCACCCGCGGCCTCACTCGGCGGACGGAGCCGGGAGCAGGAACCGGCGGCCGTTCATTGGCTACTGCGGAGGAGGGGAGGGGCGGGGAGGGAGTGGGGAAAGGATGCCGCGAGGGAGGGCGATGGGCCTTGAGGATGGGGGAGGCAGAGAGGGAGAGAGAATAGAAGCCAGAGGCACAGAGCCCGAGAGGGGCACAGGCACAAAAAGAGACAGGGCAGAGAGAGAAAGTCACGCCGAGACCTTGAGGCCGAGAAATCCAGGGACTCAGGTCTGGAGACTGAAGGAGACAGAGACAGAGAGAGTCAAGGAGGGAGAGAGACGGAGTTTAAGACCACCCCCCACCACCTAGGCACAGAGAATCTGAGACCCGGAAAGTGGAGAGGTCAGAGACCAGAAAGAAACAGAAAGAGACGGGGGACGCTCAGAGGCCTGGGGCTGAGAGGTGCTGAGACCCAGAGACCTTGAGCTCGGAGCAGAGACAGAGAGGCAGAGAGAGACAGACAGACAGAGAGAGAGAGAGACAGAGACTCTGAGAAGGAGAGACAGCAGGGACAATCCTGGGGGTCCCCTGACGAGGGCTGGGGCTCTAGCCAGGCCTGGGGCGGAGCCTGGGGTCCGGACGGCTGCAGGAAGCGGGAGGGGGCGTCCCGGGCCGGGGTCCCTACAGCAGCCGGCGGGCGCAGAGCGGAGCCGGGTCCTGCAGCCGCCGCGGAGCCGGGAGCCGGGCCAGCACCCCCCCCCCCGCCGTGATGTCAGCGGGGCCACTCTTAAAGGGGCAGGCCGCCCGCCGAGGGTCGGAGCGGGGGTTGGGGCCTGCGGGCACGGGATAGGGGTATCGCGCAGTGATGAGGGAGACAGGGACAGCCTCGGCATCCAGCTAGACCGGGGTCTGGAAACCCAGGAGCCTGCAGGGAAGAAGAGGCGCCCGGGTCCGCAAGGAAGCCTGCGAAGCTTTGGAGATCAGTGCCCTCTAAACACACAGACAAGGCACACCGCTCCGCTGGCCCGGCCCTGTCCGGAGACTACATTTCCCATCAGCCCTGGCGGCAAGGAGCCGCACTTGGGGGAAGGGTCTGCCGCGAGGCCTGTTGGGAAATGTAGTCCATCTGCACGATCCCCGGCACTCCCCAGACTCGCAAGTAGGTCAAGGGAAAGAGGCCCAGAAGGCGCGTCTGCCTGCCGTGTGCCTCAGTCGATTCCTAGGCTCACGGGTTCTGGTTGTTTTCGATTGCTCTGGCATGGGGGTCTCTTCCTCTGATCAGGTCTCTAGGTCTCTCAGGAGGAGGCCAGCCTGTGATCTCCCCCTCGGGAAGGACTTCTCTCCCGTGTCTAAGCCTGGGTGTGCGTGTGAGCTTGCGTGGCTGCTCTGGTGAGCAAGGGCGCGCTGGGTCTCTGTGCCGGGGTCTCCACCTGGCACTCAGCGACCTCGCTGTGCACTGTCCACGTTGGTGACCCCTGCGATATTTCCTCTCCCTGCCTCTGTCTGTGTACGCGCTCCTCTGCTTGCTCCTCTGCTGTGGGTGTCTCCCCTCCACTTTGTGGGTCTCCACGCTTTCCTTCTCTGTTTGTTTCTATGTACAGTCACTGTCCCGCCTCCACACCCCCTTCATTCTCCAAGCTTACAAGAAAATATCCAAACACTTCAGCATCAGCATCCCAAATTTATTCTCCAGCAGCTGTGGCCGGGTGGGAGAGGCTAAGGGAAGGGAGGGGAGGAGGAGAGTCCCAGAGAGTGGCAGGCACTGGGGACGACCGAAGTGGGTCCGAGCCAGACTGGAGCCATGCACAGGCAGGCGGGCGGGAGGCGGGGATCAGTGATGGCTTCGGGATGGGGAAGTCTACAACAAAAGCTGATTGGGAGCCGCTGGGGAAAGAATCCTCCATATATCCCAGGAATCCCCAGAGCACAGCCGTGGGACGTACTGGAGGAGGGGTCACGCCTCCCACTCATTTAGAACTGGAGTGGAAGCTGGAGGCGGGCCTCGGAAGCTGAGGGTTGTTCTGGAACCTGAGTCTGGAACAGCCAACCCCGTGAGGCTGTTTCCCCAGGGGCGGGGTGGTCTGGAGGGAGGCATAGAACTACCAAGATGGAGTTTCAAACCCCATGGAGTTGGGGATGGTGGTGGTGTGGTGGTGTCTCTGGACCCCATGGGGGCAGAGTCCAGAATGCTAAGGTTGGGGAGAATATCAGGCTCCACTCAAGTCTTGAACGCGGGACGGCTCTAGAGGCTGTATGGAATTTAGAAGAACAGGAATGCTTGGAAGGGGCGACTAGAACCTGCGGGGGCAGAGCTGGAATGCTGGGGTGCAGGATCTAGAATGGGGCGGGGGGGGTGTGGTGGTGAAGTGGGGGCTGCTGCCGGCGCGGCGCAGGGGTAGTTGGGGACACCTAGTGGCGGTGGGTGAGATTACATGACAGGCACAGGCACTGGGCTGGTGGGGCTGCGGGCATCCGGGTGCACGAAGTCGGGGTTCACGTAGGTGAAGCCCTGGAAATCGGCCTGGTCGATGCTGGCCAGGACTAGGCGGTCTGGAGGGGTCAGCGCTGGCGCCGCCCGCGTGAAGAACTTGTCAAAGTTCTCGCCACTGCGGCCACACTGTGGGAGACCGGGGAGGGAAAGTGAAGCAGCTCCGCGGGCTCCTCGGTGTCCCTCTGTGCACCCTGGTGCCACCTCCTGTCTCCTGCAGAATCTCTGTGCATGCCTCACGGTCTCTGCACCTCCCTTTGGGGTGGGGTGGGGACCTCGGCAGAGGGAGCTCCAACCCCGGATACAGGTATATGGAGACCCACGGGAACCCCACCCCTTCAGGGACCAAGTTTTTGTTGTCTGGAGGATGACTGACCGGGCGGGGTCTGAAAGGAGGCGGGATCTCCAATCGTTCCAGCCGCTCCCAGTCAATCCAGCGGAAAAAGCCGTGTGCACGGATGGTGGGTTCCCCATCAGGCCCTGAGCCCAGGCGCTTCCCTGGGTGCTTGGTCAGGAACTGTGGGAAACACAGAGACAGACAGACAGACAGACAGAGTCCCGGACAGGGAGACCCAGAGATGGAGGAAGAAATGGACACAGAAGGGAGG